GGTGACGGTGGCGGCGGGGACAGGTCTGGTTCCAGAACCGGCGGACCAAGTGGCGGAAGAAGCACGCGGCCGAGATGGCGACGGCGAAGAAGAAGCAGGACTCGGAGACGGAGCGGCTGAAGGGCGCCTCGGAGAACGAGGAGGAGGACGACGACTACAACAAGCCCCTGGACCCCAACTCGGACGACGAGAAGATCACGCAGCTGCTGAAGAAACACAAGCCGGGGGGCGGCGGGCTGCTGCTGCACCCCGCCGAGGGGGAGGCCTCCGCCTAGCGCGCTCCGCCCGCCGCCGCTTTCGGAGATGTACAGATCTATTTTTCTAGACTCTACGCGCCCGGGAGGAGGAGGAGGAGGAGGAGGAGGAGAGGCCGGAGGGGGAGCAGAGAGGACTGCGGCGGAGCGGGGCCCCAGCGGGCGCGCCCGTCCTCCGGCGCCGCGTGTTATTGTAGGGTCGCGGGCGGCGGGGAGCGGCGGGGGGGGGCCCCGCCCCGGGTCCCGCTCCCGGCGGTGCGGCGGCCGCCTGTTGCCGGCTCTTTGTAAATAAACCGTGAGTCCCCGCGACCATAGGCGTTCCTTACTGTGAATATTTAAAATGTAAAATACCTTCTTTTTTTGTACAGCGGGGGCCGGGGGCGCCGCCCCCCCCCGCCCCGCGCTCCCCGCCGCCGGGTGGGACCGGGGGGGGGGGGGCCCCCCCGGAGCCCCGAGACGGGCGGCAGCGGGGTTGCCGAGGAAAAAGCCGCCGTGGTTGCCACCGGCCCCTCCCTCGGGCCGAAACCGCAGCGGCCCCGCGTGCTATTTATTAGTATTTTTAAAACCCTTTCTGTTGCGGTCGTCGTGCAGAAGGAGGGGGGAGAGGGCGAAGGGACAGGGTTTGCTTTCACTCGCACCGTTTCCGATCAACCGCGTGTTGAAAAAGTAGCTGGTGGGAATTGTCACAACCACTTTCAGTCAAAATATAAAATTCATTTAGTTGCTGTAATTGAATTTAAAGTGTGTTTTCTTTTGTATCATACGGAATACTATAGAATGTAAATTGTTTTTTTTTAAGCTAATAACGATGATATATCGTGATATAGCATCTTAACATTTATTAATTTATATTAAAAATAATTCGGTTTGTAAAGAGAAGAAAAGCCCTTTGCAAGACCAGTTAAATGTAATGCACTTTCTGTTTAAAAAAACGATAAATCAATTAAACCAGTTTAAAGACGTCTGCTGCCTTCACTAAAGGGTACAGATAATCTGATCTCATCAGAGATTAAATAATGAAACCACGGTACAGGAGGAGAAAAAAAAAAAAGAAGAGATATTTTTCAGGATCTTTTGTTCAATCTCTGTAGTAGGTTTTTTGTTTTGTTTTCTTTTTTTTTTTTTTTTAAACGATGGAAGTTGTTCACTTTGTTGTGGGAGTTGAAGAAGGATACAAATAAAATAAGCGGCGGCTTCTTTGGGGACGGGGCTGGCGGCTCCTGCCCGTGCCGGTCCCTCCGTGAACCGGGAGGCAGAGTTTCTACCCGGCCCCCGGAGCGGTTCGCCTCAGCCTAAATTAGGCTGTATTAACTTTTTAAGCGGCGGGCGGTGCAAGATGTTATCAAGGGCAGAGTGTTACCATTATTATGGGAAAGAAACTGCTTTCCGAGAAGAAAACGGCGAATAAAGTAAGAGCCTGGCTAAGGGTCTAGAGTAAATAGTTAGACCCAATACCGAAACAACTGGTTTAAATTGAAACTCGTTATCTAGACACGATCATTTCCATATCTAAACAGACCAGAAACAATCGCTTTTTTTCACGGCTGCAGCAGACCAAACAGAAGCGTTGACATGACAGAGAAAAGGGCCAGCTATTCTGGAGGAAAAAAAATAAATAAATTAGTATTCTTCCGTAAATTTGTGAATCATTTTCTCCCCGGGGGGGGGGGGGGGGGGGGAGAAGGAAAAAAAAAAAAGCGGAGCAGGGTTTTATTCCGCTTTCGGCTTAGACAATGCCGGGGCCGGGAGGAGGGAACGAGCCCCGGCCCTCTGCGGCTGCCTCGGTGCGGCTGCCCAGGCTTTCCCGGGCCGGGGGTGCCCCCCGCCCCCCGCCCCCCCCTGCCCCCCCCCCAGTCTTTCCCGACGCGTTGTAAAGGCAGGAAGGGAAAGGCCGGGCGGTTTCCGGAGCGCCGACTCGACCCTGCCGGCTCTCGCCGTTTTCCCCGCGGCTTTTTCGGGGCCATGGGAAAGAAATGAAAATACCGCGGGGCCCGGTACCGCCGGGGCGGGGCCCGGCCTCTGTCCGGGTTCAGCCCGGTCGGCGGCAGCGGAGCCCGGCCGGGCCGCTGCGGCCGGGGGAGCGGGGCCGGGCCGGGGCC